GCAGCCAATTAAGAACAGATGCAATTTGATAATGGTTAAATAAACACATACAATTGCCTCCATATCTGCAGTTTAGGACTAGCTATTTCTTTACATTCAGGACCATGGGAGGTTATTACTTGCTTAAACAGGGCAGAAAAATGTATGAGTATCTTTGGAAGAATTCTGCTGCATGTTTAGGTTACAAATGTGCTCCTCCTGGTGAGGGGGCGGTGGTGGAACTGGAGGATGTTGTCTTTCATCAGAAGCTGCAGCAGAGTTGCAAAGGTGCTGCTGTTGTTTAATTCTGTTTAAGAAGGGTGAGCCTTACTCTTCTTGTATCTGGGAATGTACTGATACCAGCTGAATCATGACTGAGTAAGCATGATAGGATTGCACTGTGTAGTTTCCTATAAGGACTTCTACAGGAATAAGCCATATTTAATCTAGAGATTCAAAGGACGATTTTTTTTTTCAACAGATGGCCTGTTTGCTTCTGAGTAGGCAATCCCAGATAAGTTCATTTTGGAAGTTTTAATCTTATTTTATCTAGTTCATCTTTTGAAATGGGAATATGCCTTTTATAAATTTGACTGTAAAAGGTTCTCTACCCCTGCTATAAACATATGGACATCTTATGTCTTGACTTGTACAAAGAATATCAGTTAAAGGCTTGAGAAACAGAATATATGCCAGAGAGGAAAAGTGAATACAACATTTTCACATTGCCTTTACCTTTTAAGCCTTTAGGGCAGACCTGATACTTTAGGCAAGGACACATCCATATAACATTCTCAGTGACAATTCAGAAGTGGTTTCCCCTTGTTTTCTTCCAGGATGTTTTCTTTTGACTCCTCAGTCTAAATCTATACCTTTAGTTTTTCCTAGTGGTCTTCCATCCAAATAATAGCAAGTTCTATCTCTGCTCAGCTGTTTTGAGATCAGTCAAGGTCAGAAAGGTGCTACCCCCTGCTCAGGTTGTCCTGTGTAAAAGAAATTGGGATAAACATTTCCCTTTTTGATTATGAAAAACTGGCACGAGTGTAAGTCTGACACAAACACGCTGCATATACAATTACAGGTTCTAATCTAGATGTAGTTTCCACCTTTGCATAAGCAACAGAATTTTTATGCTGTTACACATTGTTTTAGTTTAAAATGTCAGACTCTTCTTCCTGTAGCAGACAACCTTGCTGCTTTCTGAGAATCAAGATGAAGCTGCATTCCACAGAGAGCCTCTCATATGTAACATTATTCATGTAATTGCATTCCTAAAACAGTCAGGAAATACTGCATACAGAAAATTTGTCTAGGCAAACGAACAAGTTTGCCAGGTTTTGTTTCAAAGTTTGTGTGGATAGGGAATGGCCATGTACAGAAATAAATCACAGAAACATTCCATAGAATAACCCAGAAATTAATCATTATGGGTAGAATAAGTACAACTGAAAATTTAAAAGCTGTTAAGATAGCAAGGTGAAATCATTTTTGAACTTTGGAAGAGCAAGCACTGAAAAATCTGAAAAAGCTTGAGCAACCTCACACAGTTCAAGGTCAAAAGTAGTAATATATGGTAACTTACCTCTATCATTATATTTCTCTACCCACGTTCTCAATATTAAGGCAAAAGTCAGGAATCATTTTCAGGCCCCACTACCTACACTTTTAATCTCTAGCAGGAGGCTTAATTAACATTTTGCAGCATTGGCAGCCCCATCTGGAAATTACTATTCAACCACCCACATTAATACCCAAGCTTTTTCCCCTTTCCTTTAATTAAAATGTTGTCAGAACAGTTAGCTCATGAAAGAACTTCCTGAAGTTAACAGTTGTATAGCGACATGCTGAAAACTGCATGGTAGCTTGTGCTGATCTATACTTAGAGTATAGCTTTTTCTCTTTGACAGTTTTATTAACTAGAGATTAATTGTGAGGGGGGGGGGTGTGCGCGCCACTTCTAAGTAGGAAAACAAACAAGTGAGAAAATTAATTTACTAGGTATATATCCTGCCTTTCTGCCAAGAGTTCAGGGTGGTGTATGTAGCACTCCCCTCTCCATTTCCCCACAACAGTCTTATGAGGTAGGTAAGTCTGAGAGAGAATGATTAGCCTAAAGCAGTGTTGTCCAAACTTGGCCACTTTAAGATGAGTGGACTTCAACTTC